ACGTCTTCCACGCCATCGGCCTCCAGATTTCTACAAATTGATCCTGATAATTTCTCTTGCCACCGAGTCAACTGATAACATGATTAGTTGACCATAGATATAGTAGGTCTTAAGGAGCTGCTGGATTTGTGAACTTTAGGATGAACATATACAGATTGCAATCGTGATCCTTTTGCCTTTAGATTGTTTTAAGTTGAATAATTAATGAGTTCCTACTTTATAAGTTCCTTAAGATGTTTATTGACCCTGTTCTTGATTGTTATCATGATATCTTTCCTAGATTTGCCGATCTGAAATTTTGACTTGTCGTTGACTTTAGAAATTACTGAGAGTATACTGCCCCGTCATATGGGCGTTGGCACTGCAAATTTCCAACATTACGTTAGTTATATTGATTTGTTGGTAAGCTCGTTTTTATTTTTGAGATGTTTTATACTTCCATTACAATATATAATTCTCACAACGAAGTATTCCGACAATTTCCCTTGACAAAATAGCAATAAAGAAAAAACCGATGACCGCATACATAAATGCGTAAACTGAGTTGATAAACTACCTGAAATTACGTGAAATGTTTATTATGATTTGAGTCTGAACAAATTTTTATTTAGGTACCTTCTAACAACCTGTTCTTCACATAATGCATTCGATAGATAAGGTACTGTAGAGCTTTTATATCTTTACCTGAGTACATGGATTCTGATGTTTTGGCGTCTCCTCCACCGGAAAATATACAAGGATCAAGATATAAATGAAATGGATGTTCAGTATCTGATAAGATAACACCTGACAAGAGTTTGCAAGATTTTAGATGTCAACCCACAAACATATTAATAATGATGTCAAAAGATTCGCCACATACCGTGCTAACTTCCTTTAACACTTTTGGAAATACAGCAAAGTCTTTTCCCGAAAGCTCATGAAAGAATAATGGGGAATAGTAAAGAATAATAGATAGTACGCAAAAGTAAAAAAATTGTAATAGCAAATGTTCAGCGATCCTAAAAGCACGCAGCCTCTTGATGTAGTAAATTAGATGGAAAACGTTTTTCAGTAACATTACAACATGGGAAGAACGGAAGAGATTGGCAGAAAAACTTACATCAAGGTAACTGATTTTATATATAAATGCTCCTAACAAGTATATGTGTGATCAGATTGTTCGAAATGTATTGCGCTTATATATCTCATAGTTCTGATAAACTCCGTCTTCTTGTTACATTATCGAAAGACACCTAGAGTATTAAACATTCTGCAGTTGTATAAGCTTTATGGGATTCCAAGAAGATGTTTAGGCGATGTTAATATCTTAGGCTGAGGTTAACAGCTTGATATTTAGACGAGTTAAGTGTAAAACTATTAACAATTGACCATATACATTATGAGATAAGATCTCATTCGTTTCAAGGGAATGTAAAGAAATAAAAATCGACATACACACAATCAGATCCTTCACATATTTCACAAAAGTGTTTTCTGTGTAATATGGTAGATCATAAAGAAAAAAAAGAGAGAAAGAGGAGGAAAGGACATCTCTTTTTCACGTTTTTAAAAGTAATAATATGTACATAAGCGTGCTAAAAATATATCTCCTGCATTATCGCCTTTTAAACATGTTAAAGATCTAAAATGTCACCACCAAGCTGTAAAGAATGAGAAACAGGAGAGAAAAAGAGTAAGGATTTAAGGCTTCCGACAGTAATAAGACTTCGGAAAGATTAGATATCAGTTCGGCCCAGTACCTCTCTCTGTCTATGGTAACGAGTTCCACGTAAATCGTTAATAAACAATAAGAAGAGTGTTTCGAGCATTTAGATTAGTGGTGTACAAGTGGAATCCTTATCCACAGACTAGGCAAGAAAGCGAACTGCGACCGAAAATTCTATTCGTGAACTTTGAAGGGCAGGAAATAAGTATGGGTGAGATAGGAATCTCGCACTTAGAGAACCCTACGTAGGTAGGCTTCCTGTTAATTTATGTAAGACTTTTTCAGACGAGCAGGATGAGGACGCACGTATGTTTTAAATCGAAAGCACCAACTGGTCCTACATGAACGCCGCAAGTCCACCAAATTAAATGTATGGGTTGGGTGAACTAAATAGTGCCATTAATACTCATCTGATGGAATATCTGGGACAAAAGCATCTTTAAAACAGGCTGACCAGGAGCTGTCGACACCCGATGTGCTCTTATTTCCCAACGACAGAAACACAGGAGTAAGAGGCAAGCAAGCACTTTGCCTATCACCCTGTTTGGTCGCAAATCATGTGTACATTCATACAACTTCCAATCTTGATGAATCTGTATAGTGCTCAAGGAGATCATTTAATACCCCTGGACGTCTCGCTAGAGTCATCTACAGGAGGCTCACGAGCAGCGCTGGGTGCGACAGTCTTATGCTGGAGGAATTGTCCCACTCTATCCATCGCCGATACACTTACATACTAATTTTAGGAAACTTAAGTTTTCCTAAAGACAACTCTACTGAACCAAGTACACTGAAGATGACAACTCTACTGAAGCTCGGTCCTTCAACATCACTTATGATCTGGAATTATCCGTAGATGCGAACTTAACGACTCAGTAGAAAGACGGTCAGATGCCACCAGGATTAGAGTGTGTAGGGCCAGTGAGATTCCACTAAGCGCAAACCAAATCATCTGGTAGTTGGGTCATTGGATATCGAACAAATCACCGATCCTCGTCAATGTCAAGGACAGCCAACGCGCATCAGTTAATCGTACGCCATGGACTGGCCCATGCGGCAGTGTTCTTACCTTTGCTTGTATCTACTTTAACTAATATATTTCTGTAATAACGTCCTCTGTGTTGTACAGTCTTCAAAGCATCTATAGTACCTTGATACGTCAATGGGGTAATCCATGTAAGGTGCAAACCGCGAAGTGTGACTTCGACGTTAGTTAGTTTGTCACACTACTCACGTCTAACTCGAGTAAGTCTCCAATCATTTCTACATAGATCATCTACGCTGGTGATTTACAGGTGAATAATTACCAACGAAGAATTCCTAATTGGCAGTCTCTCAACCCTGATTCCCCTGAGCAAAACCGATCACTCCATCACAGCCTTTATTTTTACCAGAAAAACTCGGTTAAAACATCCCGCTAACAACAGGTACTGGAATTTCAAACGGTCAAATGTATCAGTTACACAAGCCAATATACAGTAGATGGACGTGAAAGCCCACCTTCAACGTAACGTGGATGTTCATTGGGATTTCTGACTACACACTATCTTATGTGCTACAAAACAGTCTGTCCTGCAAGAGTTCACTAAATATTACAAGCAACTTACAGTCATAAAAATCTCACGCTTCAAGTGTAACTATGCAAAAGATACTACTGTGAACAACATAAACTAACCAGTGATGACATTACGTATATGCTGTTCAAATAAGCAAGAAGCTAGTGCACAATGGTTTTGAGTGAAGATAGGCTTCAATATCAAGTAAAGCTGATCGGTATATGTCTCCGATCGGGAGAGATTATTCCGTCATGCAGCCTCTCTTCGATGAGCCAAATTCAGAGTTTCTCAGTTGTTAGGTCATAGTGGCCCAATGGACAACGATGGTGATACTTCAGAGCTCCTGGGAAAGCAACATTTTTGAACATTTTAACTTTCACGTACAACTTAAATCGATTAGGTATTCACCTCTAAGCTGAGAGGAGTCTTAGTAGTAAACTGAAATAACGAAAACAAGTATCTAAATTAGACTACTTCTCTAAACCTGGATATAGTTCCTTCAGAGGGCAGCGGCTTTATGTTTGGCAACACCAACAAGTGTGATGGTCTCACATTTGCTAAGCCGGGGCAGTTGACCATAAAATTACAAAATGGAGCGGATCAAACCAATTTTCAAAGAAGGTCGAAACAATAAGTCTTCAAGATGATTGCCGATAGCACTTCTCTTTATAATCTCAAAACCAATGGATGTATGTCTCACCAGTAAGCTCACAAGTTAGATATCAGGTCACCGTTGATAATTGGGCTTACATCATGCCTAAATAATCAACATTTTAGGGTCAGGGTGCACTTTGCTTTTCTCCAAGCCACAGAATGTCCTAGTGGGGCTAATCAGGATTTAGTACCAAGACTTCTTCCAGTATTAATCTATATAGGCGACGTCCTTCGACAAATATCGTCTGCTTCATCAATTTTTGCTGACAATGTGAAACTGTAGGGAGACGTTTTCAACCAAGATGATAAGTTGACACTTCAGAAGGGTCTAACTCCACTTAAAAGTTGGGCGGATAACAACCAACTCCCTTTCAACACTTCGAAGTGCAAAGTAGTCTATCGGAGACATGTTTCACACTGCACCGCTCTAGTGTACCACAAGTTGATAAAGATCTAGGAGTGTTGGTACTCTACAACCTGAAGTCTTACGCCAGCCGTGATTAAAATGCTTTTCAGACGATCTCACACTGGTAACGTTGAGGCGCGTTGTTGGCCAGCGTGACGGCAGAGATTTCCGCTTGATCTTTGTTAATTTTATTCGGCTCTGTTTGGACTTTGGAAACATGATATTCCCTTCCTCACTACACGGGCGAGCCACGAAATCAGTTCGGGTCACAAATTCAGACCAATTAGAGTATAGAAGCCTGAGAGATGACCGTCTAGTGCCTTTTGGTATCGTAAACACTCACGAATACCCTCTTAAGTACTCGCCTAGGCTCATTTTCAAAACGAACATTAAGATTAACACTCAAAAGTTAGAGACAGCAAAGTTGAATGGACTGTAAGTATATATACACTTTACGGGTTATCAAATTTTAGGGTTTGCTTCTGACTGTGGTAGGTAGGGTGACCTTTCAGAAATTCGCCAGGAGAAAGCTTGTCATATTATTAAGAACTCAGGATAGTATCTGTCAGTGTATATATTCACGCACACCGAACGTTGACCTTGAGGCATCTAATTGTATTTTGCCAATATCTTTCTTTACACCCATAAATATACCTATGTTTCTACCTGGAGGCATCGGTGATCTACCGCTGCTAGATATGGAAGCATGTCATAGGTAAGCTTCTTCGATTTCATTCAGATCTATTTGAACCGTTTTTACTTTCATCATTAACTGTTTTGTCCTTTAGATTCTGAAAGCATTAAAACATATGTACTTTTCCGATCAAAAATCGCCCTTGAATAACAAAGTACATCCTAGAAAACAAACGGTTGACTAATTTCTATTCACGATACATTGTAGATTTTGGCTCTTGCCAGTAGCGTTTTTTCAAGCTCATCGGTACTCTGCTGCTTTCCAGATGAAATGAGTCTCCAAGATAATTGCGGTGTTCAGGAAGTAAGAACCTCACATCGTGGAGATTGTTTCTTACTCCTCCCATCTGGAGAACGCGTTTTGGTTAAGTATATGAATGGACTTCAAATATTAGGATTTAGTTTTGCTTTTTTCGGCCTTGCGAGTGCATTCTTAGGTAGATTACACTTGTATCTGACAATCACAGGACTATTAGATAGTGTTCTCATTCCATCTTTATCTCCAAATGGTTCAAATAATTATCCTGTGGAATTTAGCTTAGCTAGTGGTTATGGACTTCCTATTTATACTGGCGTGCTGGTAAGTATTCTATCTCAAGAAATAATTTGTAGGTCTTGTCCACTGGAGCGATGGCCTTACGCACCATTATTAGCTTGCGTTACACTTCAGTGAGTATTTCTAGTTTCCAAGTTAAAACTTGTCAATATATTGTCACATGTTACAATCAGGCTGATTTCGTTAGATCTTTTATAATTTACATTCGTAAACTTATGTTTAACATTCTTTCAGAAAGATAAGTTGGACCTCATATGATCAGCTGGTAAAGCAGTTGGTTCAACTAAATACCCTAAGACAAAATCTAATTCAAGTACAGTGATTGCTTTTGTAGTAAATTCTGTGTTATCGGACGCCTACATGATTTACTTTAACTCCTTTACAGATAAATCAGTATTTTTCAGTAGTTATATACACATATATTGACCATTGTTAAGCATTCACTGATATTCTTGAGCGTTTTAATGTTTGCCTGCATGTGTTTGTTCACCAACTTCACTCGTCACATGCCTTTAGCCTGCCTTTTTCTGTCTAATTATAAATATTGAGCCACGTTTAATAAAAGTCATTTGGCTATTTCTCCTGCATTATCAAGTGTTTGAAGTATACGGTTTCGTATTCGACTTTGCATTATCTATGTTGTTAGTGGGATGGTTTGGAAAAAGATATACGAATTCAAGTAGGTCAGTCAGTCAGCCACAACGTACGATCAAGCAAATATGTGCATCGGCCCAAGTTGACATACCTCATTAGCACGACAAGATGAACACCGGATCTATAGAAGTAGTTAATTCAGTGGTAGTAATATATAAAAGATTGCATATAAGGACATAGTACGGGAATAAAAATTAAAGTCCGACATATATTTTATTCAGATCAGCGTCGTTTGGTCGTCCTGTAGTCAAAGACGGGTACAAAAATCCGTTTTATTTCTGGTTAGACAAGCTGAAAATTTTAACTAGAGGCACAATGTTACCATCAGCCTAAAGACTTAATAAGACCAACATCAGGACAAATGACATGAAGGAGTTAAGTGGACAATAAATGGCTATTGGTTAATGAAGTGTTCACAGACCGAAACTAAATAAAGAGTGGCCAAGCATGTCATTGCTGTTTATTTCGATCCACTCCACCTGTCATCTACCATGTATTTCCGCCTTCTGACAGGTTTCGGTAGAACGAAATATTCCAAAACAGCAGACCGATATTGTGTCGGTGTTACGTGTTAACCTAATTTCACCCTACTATAATTCCGAGCAGAGATAGTTGTTTAATCAGTTTCGGAATATTTGCTCAAAATTTTCCTGATAAAAACTGACATCTTAGTCTGCTTTTGGTTTCAGCTACGAAGATTTTACATATCATTATGGTGGATACTGTTGTTAAACGTTGTTTATTGGTGTTGTTTAATAACTGCCATATCTTATGGAAATTTCGCACCAGACCCGTCATCCAATAAGGTAGGTTATTTGTTTCAATGTCATTCTTTTTTCCGCATACATGGACCTGCTTAGTGGTTATGCTGCTACATCGTAGCTGTGATTGTAGAGTTAGATTATCACAAAGCCTTAGCTATTATGATATTGTTTACTGTCCAATAGACTTCTTAGTTCACAGTGATCGGCTATAAAACTTCGATTGGTAGTTTTGGATATTTTGTAATATTAATATCTCAATCGTATCAGGTAAAGAAATGTACCTCGACACAATAATTCTATTCATAACACGAGATATATTAATACTAATTAGTGGCCTACTTTAGTAGAATTATACAAGAACTTGAGTAGTCACGAGTTATTTAAAAATGTATATAAGATATATGCATATCAATATTATCGTTTTTTTGTATTACACTACTCCACACAATATAGACCTGTTTCATTTTGTACCTTATCTTAGATGAAGAGTTTTTCTATGATGTATGATTGAGACGTTCGAAACTTGTGGTTAGTGTTTCATTATCGTAAGTCTTCATCGTCTACCCATTTCATAAAACTGTAGAAAGCCTATATCAACTAATTCAAGACTCAAGTGATATTTTCTGAATTATTGGGTTGAAAAAATGCTTTATCGTATCTAATCTTTTTGATGCGATAGCTAACTATTGAAGTGTATATTATTAGTAATGATTTATCATGAAAGTATAACATTTGAAAAGCAGTTTTTCATGACCAAATGATATCCATCGAGTAACAACTAGAAATCTTTGGCCAGTTGCTACCTTGACGTGGTGGTCGGGCTTGCCTATCGTGATGAAGCAACTGAGCTATACTGGCTGGAACAACCGTTCCTCAAGGTCCTACCATGCCAGACAGGTTGGTTGAAGAGCGGTAAGACTAAAAGCAACAAAACCAAGGTCCGAAGGCGAAGTCGTACTGCTGACTGTACAGAGGTGTGACAGCAGTAAGGTGTTTCCTTCAGACAACCAGCATGACAGCGATGCTGCCTTCCCACAAGGAGGGGTGGGGTTAGAAAAGGTCGACCCTAAAAATGCACACCTCGCCTTATCCCACGGATATCCGTCTCCGGCGATAAGGACTCGACAAGTACGGAGCTAACACAAAAATCACTCATAAAAAGGTCGTGTGTGACCGACCTCAAGCAGCTGTCCCTTGGGCACTGCGGTCACGCTCTCAGGTCACTATGACCACCTCTAATCCAATTTCCTTTTCAGGTACCTCCAGCAGAACCCTTCCACGGTGTGGGCAACCGGGAAGTGATAACCGCCCTCATACCTCTAACAGCACTCAAGACCACTGTATTCATGGCCAGTAAATAATTATTTTATTCTGAACAAGATCTTTGACTAAATTTAGGGTTGCTAGATCACTCACTAACCATATTACGATTAATACAGACGGTCAGAATTTAGTGGTTAAGATTGATCAACTAAAAACATGTCGATTATTTAACTAGACTTACTAAGTATAGCTTCATGTATTTTACTTCGTGCTACATTTATTGCGCAAAAGATAGGCATACTATCAGAACTGTCAAATAAAAATAATTGCAGTTATATTTGAATCCATGTTACAATAATCAGAGACTGGGTGCCCTAATCATCCAGTCTCTGTTACTCAAAAGCCATACATTCCAGTAGTTCTTCCGCTTATGTCAATTCACGATTTCTAAGGAAATAACTTTTAGTTAACCAAACCTCTGAAATTAATAACTTCGAAAATTCTTCCTCTTCCATTCAATTTTTAGATTTCCAACTCACATACCGTAACAAGAGTTTTTACAGCTGTAAATTCTGGCCTTTCTTTAATTCCTTGTTTCACAGGCTTAATATTGTACAGTCGTCCCGTTCTTCGTAGACATCAAAATATTTTGTGTTGTTATTCACTGATTCAACGATTTAGTTACTCTTCATCTTATAGACGCCTTTTCGAGGGCCAAAACCGAAATGATAGCACTAGTTCTATTAGCGAATGATCCATTTTATCACGTTATGTTTTATAATCTCGTTTTAAATAGATCAGGCGCGATATTTTGTACTTTCATCAACACTTTTGTCGAAATTAATCATTTATATTCTATCTTTTATGTACATGACTATAAAAAATTAATTATGATTTCTAATGAGATCTCAAGTTGTTCATTTATATGTGTTACTTTTACCGACCATATTCTGAACAAGAAGATACATTATATATGCCAAACATGTTCGAAATTAGAGGTGCAGAACTATAGTGTCGCAATTATTTTCTAACATACTCTTGTCTTTTTACAATCTATGTACTTTTCTAGGAAACTGACCTAATTATCTCACGGTTTCGTTTTTTATAACTCAATATTTGCTCAATTTTCTTGTTCGTTTTTTAATTGTTCGTAATTTGTGTTTTCCGCGATCAACAGTTAGATAAATATATCATTTATTGAAAGCATTATTATTATTGTTATTATTATTATTATATAGCGTAAATTCTCACACTAGGTAGTGCAAATATGTTGAATCACTAAGTTTGTTATCTATCGGATTAGTAATAAATCGTTTGACATATATTATTTTCGACCTAGTGTGTTCTTATAACATATCCTACTATGATTAATTATTTTGGGATGATGTCTACTTGTGTAACCGATGTAAAGGCTTATTCTGTTGCGCCCTCTTGTTAGGTTTTGGTTGTATAAACAACAGTTAAATAGTCGTTTAAAACTGTGTGGTTGGTCATTGTTAACAATACTGTTTATTGTGGCGTATCTAGGGGAAAACGTCCCAGCATCTTAAAAGAATTCTATAGATGATATCTTTCGGTGCGAGAATCTTGATATTGACGTAATATTTATGGATCAAATTTTCACTTGACAAAGTTGTCATATCGAATGAACAAGAAATACCACTCAAAGGTCTCGCTTTAATCAGAAGAATTTTAGGAATTCGAAAAGTACCAACAACGTATTTCTTATTGTAATTTATGTCCAACCTAGTTGGATTGGTGCTGCACTAAGCATTACAGGCAAAGCAACACTAATTGAAAGGGTCATCAGAAAAAGTTTCATATGATTCTGGGCTATCAAGTTCATTTAAAATAAAAAAGTAATTGACAAAGGGGACAGTGGTATACATATGCCTTCTCATATTGCACTAGAATCCAACTAAAGAAGTGTTCTTCCATGAATTGGATAGCTTTCACAAAACGCGCTAAACAGATCTTATGGGACTAGCTAAAGACGCAAATATGCGTGGTAAAATGAGAACACAGGAAACTATTTAGATCAATTTTTTTGTGGTAGATTAGATGGTAGAAATAACATTGTATAGAGTTGCGGGAATGCTAAAATATTTTCAAAAAAACGCGAAATGCGTAGACAGTTGTCGTTGGCATGTTATTTAGTGTTCTATTACTGTTATAACTCGGTTTTAGTTCGTCTATTGTTATAACGTTTGGATTCCCACGTTTACACATATGGGACGTTAATTTATCTTAGATGAATATCTATACTAGATTTCCTCCCAGTGTCTATTCTACAAGACTTCAGCACAACTCAGATCAAGAACACGTGATTAACCTGACCACAACATAAATATATTTCCACACCAAAAACCCGAAACAATCCAACAATGAACAATCAATAATAAGTCAGTCGTAATAATAATAAGGATAGGGAAATATATAACTCATCTGACACCTATCAGACTATCTACATACCTGACTAACTAGACAACCAATCATTATCATTCTCGCCCCACACATTAATTAATTAAACTCAAGTAGAACACATCGCTATTAGCTATCGATGGTACTTGTAAGTAGAGATCTTTCACACTCCTAACTCCCTGTCAGGATTCTGATCACGCGTTCATATAACTCATCTGGTGGTCAAAAATTCATCACTATCAACCAATTGTTTTAAGTAAATTAGACCCACGGATTGTCGTGTCCAAGTAGTACATCGAGCTGTATATTAAGCTACATTTTAGCCCACCGGAAAACGTGTGTGTCTGGCGTTTATTGGACTTCAGACATATCACGGAAGTAACGAGTAGTGTTTTTTAGTTTCACGAAACTTTGTTTACAGACATAGTTTCAGTGGGCTCTGTACGATCTAGTAACCCCTGTCGGTCAATTTTGTCAGATCTTGAGGTATACTGATGGATGCCATTCTCAAAGTTTACATAATAAAAGTGAATCTTGATGATTTGTGATTGTTGCTTGACAGTTTTTGAAAGCTTTATCAACTCATCCAAAGTACCAGTAATAATGAGCCTTACGTCAGGAAAATAATTTCCGAAGTTGTTGACACAATTACCAGTCCTCAAAGGAATACTGAAAGCTGGGCATCGAACCTTAAAAGAAAGTTCAACTGCCACATTGCTCCATCATTTCCAGACAAAATGTCCTGTCTACTTTAGCTGTTGGATATTAATTCATTTATGAAATTTGAGATCTGGAAGAAACACCGTACATAGTAGAAATAGTCGATAAACCTATGGATCTGTATAATTGTGTATCACTGGTGATCGTATGGAGAACGAAATCAATGATGTATACTAAAGTGTGGATCACTTTATAGAAATATATTTCACTTTAGTCATCGTTTCACCATGATTCTGAATTTAAAAGGCTTTGGATACATCAGTTTTAAGTACTACAGTTATGCTTGTGAAATCTAGCCTTTAAGGATTTTCGACTTCTGTCCTGAGCCATCCTTCCTTTCGAAGGGTTTTTTTAATTTGGTAGCAATACCATATAAGTAAGGTTGGGTTTTGGTAGTGCATATCAGGGGATGAGAAACGTGATTACTGAATAAAATGTTATCATTTGGAAATGCCAGTTTTGCTACCTTGGTCATGTTTTACGCGTATCCTTGTAGTAACTTCCGTCCCAGACATTATTTAATTGTATTGATTGGATTAACCTGTCCTGACTCATTGAGATTCTGTGGTTAGGGTCTTAAGGATCATGCGATTTAGTGGCTGTAGACATTATCAGACATAAATTAGGAAGGAAGGCATTTGTAGTCATGATGCAGTTCCCAGTAGTGTTCTTAAGTAAAATATAATTTTAACTGGACGGAATTTATCTTGGTCAGGGAATTCAACGAATATTTGTCATTCTGCATCGACTGTTGTTGATGTGTTTATAAAATAAGTTACATAAAAGTGAGACATGTATATTTTTAGGTTATATTGTGGAGACCATTTAGGGCCTGATTACGTCACAAACTTACGCCTGTTACTCCTCATGGAGGAGAATAGACCGCCCACCATCACTCCATTCAACCCTGTCTTGGGTAATCCTTTCCAGTTGTTATTCATCCTTTTCATATCCGCTTCTATTTCCCTACGTAATGTGTTCTTTGGTCTTCCTCTTTTCTGTTTCTCTTCAGGATTCCAAGTTAGGGTTTGCCTCACAAAGGATTGCTTAAAATTAATTATTCTAAAGATTTATACTTTGGGAAATGAACTTGATGTATTACGAAGGCAAATTAAACTGACCATGACTAGTGCAGCAAATGTGAACACAAAATAATCAGTTTCTCAGATTTAGTTATTTTCGAGATATATGGTGTGAATCTAACGAATATCCGATATACTTCCTAATTACGAAATTTTCACGCCTATGAAATTTCTTAAAACTGTGGAGCCAACATGAAATAAATTCAATGTTTACCGACACCAGAGGAAATGCTATGATTCGTGAAAAATCTTAGCAAAACTGCATGAACCATGGTATTTATTTCAAAGCAACACAGGGTATCCTAATTAATCATGAAAAACTAAGTATAAAGTTTTTTCATTTATATCTTTTATATTGTGTGTTAGTGTAGATTATGAATAATTATGGGAAGTTTATAAAACAGTTCTCAATTTATGAATTACTCAATGTCAGTGAGACCACTTAGTAACATCAAGTAGCTGTTCATTACTTTATTTCGTCGTACTTTATGACTGCGCTTGCACTTTGAACTTTCGTAAACTTAATGCTGTAGTGTCTGTCATTATGTTAAGCCCACATATCTTATTCTAACTTCCGGACAGCCCAATCTATTCGTTCTACTTGAGTCATATTTTGACCTTGTCAATTATTCGCTCATCAATCTTGACTGTATATGAGCGCGTAGGCGTATGTACACTTCTTATCCCGTTACTCATCACATGTCTGTAGTTTATTTTTGTGTGCTTATAAATATTGATTAATGTTTGGCTAAAGGGGAGTTGGCTTACCAGCCATCTCCACCGCGCGTCATTTTTGCCTCGCTTTCTTTTCTTCGCATCGTTTCCCCGTTCGTTAGTTTGATTAACGATTATACAATATATATGTATCCAACGTTCCATTCTCGTTATTTGACTTATTTAATTCCGTTATTAACTAACGCGATTTAAGTCAATCATTCTATACGAGGATAGGTGATAACAAACATCGTTGCGATCAATTTGGAGTCAGATCACCGGGCCACTAAAATGGTGAGCCCGCCGCCGCAGACAACTCAACGGGCTCTACAATGCTTCACCTAGCTTTAGAGTTCTTCAAAGTTACTTCTACTAAGGATAATGTTGTATCCCGATATTCCGAGAATCATTTGCATGAGGATGATTTTCATGAAGTTCTGGTATCTGGTGATGAACGACTAACAATCGGAAAATTGTACATTTCAGACGTATCTTCTATGGAAGGTCGTTAATCTACTTTAGTTTATACAATTTATGCTACTAAATTAATACCAGTAGTATAAAACTGGCTCTTTAGAGTGATAGAGCATTTTTATTCACCGATGGTAGACCTCGAAGGGATTTTATTGAGTTGTCAAAATGATCTTGGTTATAGATAATTAGGCATTTTATTAATCTTAAAAACTACCACTAATTGTTAATAACTTCTTATGGTAAAATCGCTGTCAGGCTTTTATATGTGTAACCAAAATATTACTGGATCTGTTGCTACCTTGAGGACTTGATATGATTCAGACAGCATCGAATTTCAATAAAAATATCCCTTTTTAGTGTCACAAACTCTAAATCTAAGGAATTTTTAGTCTGTTTGCTCTAAAACAGGGAGATCAAAGGTTTATAACTTATCATCGATGGAAATTCATCTGTTTTTTTAATATGCTGAGGATTAATATTAAAAATAACATTTTTACATTTTCTCAATAGTTACTGAAAGTCTAAGTTTGTTAAACTTGGGTTAAAATGTATGAGAACAATATTTGATAAACATTCTTTTGGGACACTAAAAAGGACTTTCATTGGTATATGCTTCTGTTTACTAATAATCCTAAGTTTGTTATTATTCACGTTCACAGACACTGCTGACGACAGACATGATTATGGACTTTAAATACGTACGACAGTATTTCTCTTGAAATGTTTGAAGCAATACCAGCAGGAAATGTGGATAAACAAGCGGAAAAACCTTGGCGACGGTTTCTCAACAGGTGTTG